AGATGTGTTATAGGCACAGATCCACCTGAAGATGGGTGGACGGGGGGTCCTGGACATGGGTCTCAGGACAGGTGTTCCGTTTCCCTAGCCTCAAGTAAAATGAGAAAAACCAGAATAAAACTAACCTTACATAAATTTAGTAGGTGCTTTACAAATATTCACTACTATTGTAATTGATGGTAATGAGCTTCCACATTTTTTGGCCTTAAAACACCCTGGTTTTTACAAAATGTTGGTGAGAATAGATGGCGGTTATTTTTCCATTGTCCTATCTAGGCCAACACTAACACTGGCATGCCTGTCTCTGACCCCCAGTTTTTCGGAATTTACGAATCTATGAAATCTAAACAAATAAGTCACCCTGAACCAAATGATCCCTCTGGGTCCCTTCCAGTTCTAACAAGGCACTAAAAGACACCAGCAATCAAATCCACGCCCCAGGTCAATAAACCTTACAGCAGCCTCACGCAAGGATTATCCCTGAGGCGGCTCAGTTTCAGCAAACTTCTTCACTTTTGCCCCAAATTCAAAATACGCATCTAACACGGGAGGAAACTGGTCTCACGCAAGCTGGAGAAAAGAAATCCACTGGGCTCTCTATAACGTGCCCTATTGAGATTTCCCATCAATCCTAAGAAAGAAGTATTATTGTCTTTAATCCTACAGATGAGGTAAGGCTCAGTCATTCTGCTCACCATCTCCTAATGGTAAGTGACAAGCTGGCACCAGGTGCCAGGTTCATGCTTTTCCACTGGCTTCTTCAAGGGAGAAGGTGATGAAATAAGACCCAGCATTGAGCCAGTCGTAGTGCCTGAGACTCATCTAACACAATATTAAAACATCAAAACTACATTTCTTCAACATGGTAGTTCCCCCAAAAGCTAAACATAAAGCTACCGTATAAACAGCAATTCTACCCGGAGGTACCTACCAAAGAGATTCGAAAACATACGCCCACACAAAAACTTGTCCACAAATGTTCGCAGCGGCCTTATTCTTAATAGTCAAAAAATGGAAACACCACCAGTGTCCATCAACTGATGAACGGATAACCAAAATGTGGTCTATCCAACAACAGGCTATTACTCAGCCATAAAAGGGGAACAAAGTACTGATGATACAGCTACCACGTGGGTGAACTTTGAAGACATGCTATGTGAAAGACAGCCAATCACAAAAGGCCATGCACTGTATATGACTCCACTTATATGAAATGCCCACAACATGCACATCCCTGGAGACAGAAAGTAAACTAGGGGCTGCAGGACCAGAGAATAAGTCGCTAGCAAGGAGAAAGGAGTTCTTTTTGAACTGATAAAAAATGTTCTGATACGACGATGGTTGCACAACTGTGAATATAGCAGAACCATGCGGCTGTACATTTTAAATGGGTGGATTTTGTGGTATGTGAGTGATAGCTCAATAAACCAGTTATTTAAAAAATTGCGTTTCTTGGGGCACCTGGGTGGCTCAGTCAGTTGAGCGTCCAACTTCGGCTCAGGTCATGATCCCACAGTTTGTGAGTTCCAGCCTCACGTGGGGCTCAGTGCTGACAGCACAGAGCCTGGAGCC